CCTATTTTGTGATAACATGATATTATATTATTATGGTTATTTCAGGATTATTTGATATACTTCTTTAATTGTTACATCAACTATTGGATGGTGTAGATGTAGTGTACCAGTAAGGGATAGTAGCACTCTAGGGTTAGATTAACGTATCAGTTAAGTCCTACCTATTTTATAAGGGAATGGATTAACTAAAATGTTAAGTCCTACTTATATTCGTGTCAGGTCAACTGAACAAGTTGGATGATACATAGTGGATTACTTTAGATTGGATAGAATATATATTATAAATATATATATAGACATATGTCATAATATGAGCTTGAGCCTCAGGATCAGTGGATAAGGTGCATATATTGCCAGGGATGTGTAGCTAGATATAGTGTGGTTGCGTGCCCTGGTAGGTCTAGGTACTTATGCCCACTATATGTACGTTTTGTATGTTACCTACTACTCAGGTTGAGGCAACCCTATAGTCTAGTGAGGTTCATTTAGTGTGTATATGTATTATGGACTATATAATTATTGCATGGGTTTGGTATAGATATATAGTTTCTCGGGTCTCTGTTTGAGTTATTGTAGAAAGAACTTGTTTGTGGGCCTGACCCACTTTTATTTTTTCAGGTATTCGTCAGTTCTAGACTTAGAGCTTGTTCGTGCTGAGCAGAGACAATCTACATCATTCTTCCAGTTCTACGTAAGATTATCTTTATGTTTTAGTTTTGGGATTTATATTTCCTTCCAGTTGTTTCAGTTGGGTTAGCATTAGGGTTCTACTAGATGGGTTCCCGAGTTGTAATGATATTAATGGTTTTGGATATTTTATTTGGAGGATTTATTATTTAGTTTTTCTTTTATGTTATTTTAATTATTCTTAGTTATTTCTTTTGTAATCAAATGCTTGTTTATATACTTAATTGTTTGGTGTCCCTCGGATCTGTGCTCGGACTTGATCACCCGTGGCTCTAGAATTGAGGGGTATCATATTTTACTATCGGGAGTGCACAATGAGGTTAGGGAGGCCTTACTTATCGGCCCAATCGGACTCGGCTAGCTCAGTCTATCCGGATCCATAGTACAGTTCTTATGCTACCCACTCGTCTCTTGTGTGGCTTTTCGTCACAACCGTACCCATGTTATCGCCCTTGGCTCTTTCATCTGGGCCGTTGCTACCTTCCACATTGCCATCTCCTCCACATTCTTAGAGGTCCATCATCTCTCTATATATATACACAGTTATATACACTCACATACAAATGTATGTCTTTGTAATACGTTTGATTTAACTAAATTGAAAGTCAGAGATGAATGGCATTCGTGATATTATTTTTACTTTTACCTATCCAAGACATAAATCCGAAAATTTGAACGCTTAGCCGTCGACTTTGGAAATGTGAAATGCAACATTAGCATAATATATAGGGTTAAATACAAAAAAAAAAAAAAAAAAATACCCATATAGTATGCTTACAGTGCACAATGCACCCTTCCCGTGCAAAAAACACCCTTAAACTATGACATTTGTGCAAATAGGTCATATTTATAAAAATTGGACTAAAATGCCCTTAGCAACACATTTTATAATATATATAAAAATATATATTTTTTTGTGTAATGACTAAAAAGGGTTTGGCCCTTCTTCTTCTTCATTTTATGATCATAGCCTAAAACCGTACTATGATTGTTATGTCTGCATTTTGACAGCAATCTTTGGATGCATAATCCGCGATCCAGTCTCAACATGATATGGTTTGCCTCTCCTATCTATTGTTGCCCCAAGTAAAAGGATGTCCCTTAAAACCCATATCCAAGAGAGACCACAATAATCAATCAACTGAAGCTACGGAGCCAATTCTGTACTGCAGAGATTTCAGTTGGTACCGTGCTTCGCTGAATGCCTCATTTCGGTCGGCGAAACCAATTCACGTCTGCCGCAAGCTTACGGCCGAACCAGTCCTCTCCACAGCCCATCTCTATTCGCTGCCATTGCCGCCACCCACCGAGATTCCCCCTTGCTCCCCACCGCTATTTCAAGCTCACTGTCCTCTCGAACCGCCATCAATTCCGTGCGAGCTTCTCCTTGCTCACCGGCTGTCTTCATCCTAGCCGGTCCATCATCGCCTTACCCGCCATTTAAACCCCTCTGAGCCGCCGTAGATTAGCAGAACTCGTCGAGGCCGTTTTGCCCTTCTGAGAACCACCTTGCTCGCCTGTCCACATCTCCAGATCCGTCACCGCTGCGCCAGCTCGTCCCAGCAGGATCCATCTCGCCAATGCACTGCCACAGTTCTTTATCACGGCCATTTAGCCACCCTTGTTAGCCGATTTTGTCCTGCAGTCTATCTTCACTGTTGTGCCATTCCTTCAAGCTAGCTGCTACTCATCCACATCTTAACCGAAATCCTTACTTCTCTGGATTCTTTGGTTTAGTATCTGGGACATTACAAAGAAGAAGAAGAAGGAGGAAGAGATTTGGTATGGGCATTTTTGGAAGAGTAAAAGGGTAAAATGTGTATTATATTAACTGAAGGGTGTTTCATACAAATTGAAAAGAATAGGGGTATTTTTTGCACACCTTTTTTAAATAGGGGATAAAAGTGCTTTGAAAAGTATACTTCAGGAGTATTTTTTGCATTTACCCCTAATATATATGGGAGAATTGAGATATTTTTATTTATTGGATATGAGGCTTTACGAGGTCCCTCTAAGAAAAAAAAAACTGTGTGGACTGGTTATTCAGGTGGTAATTTCCTATTCTGCTTCTTAATTATCTGAAGTTTGTTGCCCATAATCCAGAATTATTCTTCATGGTATTCTCATTCTTTAGTTGTGCTAATATGTTTATTGTTTAATATATGTGTACATATATAATATGCTATATTAAGAACTCTTTCAATTCATAACGTTAGCTAATCATGTATTTATTAAAAGTCATGTCTCCTAAGATAACTAATACAACTTTTCTATCTGAATTATATCTATTTGGATGAAAACCACAAAGTCATTTTGTTTAGGATAACGTGGCATATTATAATTATACAACTTTTAGTATGAATCACCGTTTAAGTGAAAACGCTAAAAACGTTTGGTTAGCATTCAATAATGTTGAGTTAGTAACGCAAATTTTAAAATACAAATACATTGGATGAGAGACAAATATCCTTTTTCCTTAAATAAAAAAAAATAAATAAAAAAAAAAAAACTGGTAGTTTTAAAGTTAATTCCTTGTTCATTTCTAAACCTTGTTGTAGATTATACAATAAAACACAATTGAATTAATTAAAAATCATTTTATATATTTAATTTAAAACACAAAGATGTCTTAAAATCATTTTATGACTTTTCATTAGAGTTGTCTTAAAGATTTGTTGAACACTTTTTTTCCTTTTCTCTTCTTTTTTCATAGTACACTATAGTTTTATATATTTAATTTAAAACACAAAGATGTTGGACATAAAATTTTCCTGTTAATACAAAAATAACCATTTTTTTAATTAGTTCATTGTTCCTTTCTAAACCTTTATCTTATCAGATGTACTCTCTTTATCTGTTATAATAGTTGTATCCAAATTAAAATACATGTTTGGTCAGAATTCATTTTTGTCTTTTTTCACCATAAACTATCTTCTAAACATCATAAAATGTGTGTATGAATCCATCACCCACTATCTCTTATCATCTTTGTGAAATAAAATTTTCTCTTTCCAAAGACTTGTATGCAAATTGAAATACATGGCTTTTTTGTTTTTGGGCTGGGCTTGTCCCTTGTTGCTTCATTGCTGCCCTTTTGGTCCTGCTTTTGTACTTTGGCATAAGGCCTTCCATGTACACTTTTCTATATATTTATATATCATTTGCTTGAATTTCCAAAAAAAAAAAAAAAAATTGAAATACATGGTTAGAACTCCTTTTTTTATTTTTTAAGGACTTTGTAATTTCATAAAGTTTATTCTTGTGGATCCTATTTTAAGATTTTTTTTTTTTGTAGTATATTAATAAATATAACATAATTTTTTGTTTTTTGAACGAAAATTTTCTTTGTATTTTTTTCCTTCTCATCCATCAATAATCATATATACTACCTCTCCTTGTCACTTCAAAGTTTTATTTTTTAAGTTATTTATTATTTATTGTTTACTTGACATATAAAAGAAAAACTAAACTACTTAATAAGTTACAATATATCTTATCGACAAACAATCCTTTTAAAAATTATTTCCTTAATGCAAAACACTTCTTGTACTTTAATAGTTAGACAGAAAGGTGATAAAGACCCTCATATAAATCATATAATTAATAGTTACGTGACTATTTTTATTCTTAATATTAATAGTTATCACTCATAAAACTAATTTGTATTAACATATATTTCGTTAATATAAATTAATTCTAATTAAATTATTTTCTATTTGTATACATTTTTATTAAATTAATATTAACTTAAATAAGTTTAAATAAAAATAATTAAATAAAATTTTAAATTACATTGTTGTTATTAATAAGTTTATTCCTAAATAACACATCAATTGCCGAAGGATGCAAACTTTAATGTAAATAACACAACCGTTCACAAAAGACACACATGTCAAATAAATAATAAAATATCAGTTGTCCAACATTTTCAATAGAATAACTAAAACTAAATGATCACGAAATAAATAGCAAGATTAACATAAATATTAATAAAGGAGTAATTAGAAAAAGTCACATCACCGTTCAATAAAATTCAACAGAAAACATCAAAAACCAATTTAAAATGATTTTTCTAATAAAAGGAGTCATTGTGATAAAATGAAATTTTAAGTTATTTTCATTAGTTAGTCAATGTTCCGTGAAAAATATTGTCTTCTTCATTTTTAGTTTTGGAAGATTCAAATTAAAATTAATTTTATTTTATTTTGAGATATAATAATATATATATATATATATGTTAAATTCTTAGTTTAATAATATTATAATATTACTCTGTGTTACATTGTGCTACCACTTCCAGTGTGTTTGTGGGATGCTAGTCACTCCTTCAGACAGACAAACAAAAAAATACTCCGTACTACCAAAAGATTCTTCCAGCGTAGTCAACAGTCAATTCTCTCACCCTTTCTCTCTCTACAAAGAGAACAGGAAAAATAAAATAAAAAAGGGTGGATCGAGGTGAGGGATGAGAGTGAAGCTAAAGGAGATGAGATCAGAGACGTTGACTCTGATACTGGTGAATCTGGCAGGGATTATGGAGCGGGCCGACGAGTCTCTACTACCGGGAGTGTACAAGGAGGTTGGGGCGGCCCTACACACCGACCCAACGGGTCTGGGCTCACTCACTCTCTTCAGATCCATTGTGCAGTCCTTGTGTTACCCACTCGCCGCTTACCTGTCTCTGCGTCACAAACGTGCCCACGTCATCGCCCTCGGCGCTTTTCTTTGGGCTGCCGCCACCTTCCTCGTTGCTGTCTCCTCCACTTTTTTACAGGTCTACCCGCACTCACTATCTCTCTATATATATGTGTGTGTTGGACATAAATTTGTGTATTAGGTTTTTTATGGTTACATTAGTAGATCCATAGTATTAGTATGTGTCAAGGTAGCGTGGACCACACAATGTTGCGCCATTGTTTGAAATTTAAACCGGGTACATTTCGCAATACATAGAAATGAGATGATCATATATCCTTCGATTTTTTTATTTTTTTATTATTTTTTTTTCCCTGTGGCACTTGTGTGGGATAATATATGTTGATTTTGAAAAGTAAAATAAATCATTTTAAGTTCCGGAGAAAACTAAATTAGATCCATTTGGAATGCTTTAACTGAGTCGAGTTTGGATTAAAAGTGCGCTCCAAATTTTCTAGGTACAATCATGCCATTGATTACTCAAACCTAGAGAACTACGTAGTATTATGATGACTAAACCCAATAAATTTCAGAACTTACATTTATCAAGAATCCATTTGTGTGTCTACATTAAACAAATTCCAAAGTATTGTAAAATGAATGTACTTGGGGAAAATTTGAGGAATTTTCAATTTGTTGGTTTCAATTGTTCGGATCATCTGAAAAGTAGTGTGTAACCAACTGCATTATAATATGATAAGTCGTTGTGTCAACTGGTTATTCAGGTGGCAGTTTCAAGAGGTCTGAATGGAATAGGACTTGCCATAGTCACACCAGCTATTCAGTCCCTTGTTGCTGATTCAACTGATGAAAGCAACCGCGGTCTGGCTTTTGGATGGCTACAATTGACCGGGAACCTCGGCTCAATTATAGGTGGCCTATGTTCACTGCTAATAGCTTCAACATCATTCATGGGTATCCCTGGTTGGAGAATTGCATTCCATCTTGTTGGGCTTTTAAGTGTTGTAGTTGGCATTTTGGTCTACTTCTTTGCCAGTGATCCCCGCTTTTCTGATGGTGATGGTAAAGCTAGAGTTCAGAATCCACATAAACCCTTTTGGTCAGAAGTGAAGGACATGATTAAAGAAGCAAAATCAGTTATTAGAATTCCATCTTTTCAAATAATTGTGGCTCAAGGTGTCTCTGGAACATTCCCCTGGTCAGCTTTGTCATTTGCCCCCATGTGGTTGGAGCTTATTGGCTTCTCCCACAAAACAACAGCATTCCTCTGGACCCTCTTTGTTATTGCTGCTTCACTTGGGGGTCTGTTTGGAGGGAAAATGGGGGATATACTTGCCAAGCGCTTACCAAACACGGGCAGAATAATTCTCTCACAGATAAGTGCTGGTTCAGGCATCCCTTTTGCAGCAATACTGCTGCTCGTGTTGCCTGATGATCCTTCAACGGCATTCATGCACGGTTTAGTCCTTTTCATCATGGGATTAACCATGTCTTGGTGTGCTACGGCCACAAACAAGTAAGTCTCCAAATTAGTATAATCATTTTTGTGAATAAACAGATTTTAAATTTTGGGATTGGGTGGAGGGGAAACATGAAGGGAAGCAGAAGCATGCTTTTTCAAATCTCTCCAATACTTCACAATTCTTTCATGGCCTGAGCAACTAAGGAATCCTTAACAAATAATGAAACTTATGAATATAGACATATTAAGTAGGATGATGATCAAGCATAATTAAACTTTCGAGTAGAATAATGTGCCACTCTCTTCAGCATGTTTTGTTCCTCACTCCCTCCTGCAGATCACCTAAATACCACTGAAACGAATTATAGTATCCTATTTGTTTGCAATATAATGAACCTGGAATATTTGAATCACTCGCCTCTGCTTGCAGATATATATGATTCAGAGAGAGAATCTTGATCGAAACCTTTAAAATCATTCATAATTGGAGCTACAACTTTAATCACCTTTTGTCTGCGAAGTGTTATCCTTTGTGAAGAATTGGTCTGCAAAGTTGCGGATTTCATTACACATTTCGTGAGGAGAAAATTTTTTGTCCAACAAGCAATCTTCCATTACAACAGGGAATTCACTGCTTGAACCATGCCTGGAATTGCCTCCAGTGGAGACATCTCTTTTAATCAAGTAGGCATCCACAAGGATTACTTCATTTGATTTTCACTTTCCATCTCATTGTCTAAAGCATTGGAATTACATGGTAGCATATTTTTTTTTTAATGGGTAAATTAGCATAAACTACTTTTGTTTTTTAAAAACCTTGTCATGTTTTTACTCTTTCTGAGCAAGTATACATGCTCTCTAGATGGTATTTCTTTAATAACTGCACTATTATAAACCATGTAACTGTAAGCATGAATAATTTAAAGAGAGCAATCTTGGTTCAACTCTCTAATATTAGGATTGTCATCAGATGATTATGGTCATCCATGATCCAACTGAGGTTCAATAATTTTGGATAATAAATCAATCCTCCAGAGGCCAGAATTGTGTGTCACTCATTGAAAGTGTATTATTGCTGCATGCATAGTATGTTGAAGTTAGTATTTAGTTCTGCATAAAAAAAAAAATGGTGGAATTAGGGGAACTTGTTAAACTATTTAACCATTCATTTAATTGTTAACATGTATTCAGTCCAATATTTGCAGAGATAGTTCCTGAGAGATCACGAACGAGCATCTACGCTTTGGATCGGTCTTTTGAGACCATACTATCATCATTTGCTCCCCCTGTGGTTGGTATTTTGTCACAGCATGTTTATGGTTATAAACCAATTCCAAAAGGATCAACAGATTCAGAAGAAATTGAAACCGATAGAAAAAATGCTGCATCACTTGCCAAGGCACTTTACACGGCTATAGGCATTCCAATGGCAATCTGTTCCCTCATCTACTCCTTCCTCTACTGTACATATCCAAGAGACAGGGAACGGGCAAGAATGGATGCTCTAATAGAGTCGGAGATGCAACAGATGGAATCGGATAATCTTCCTTTCGGAGAAGAATACTCTCAACTTGTTCATGTCTCTGAATCAGATGAGCTACACGGAAACGAAAGAAGTGTGATTGAAATAGATTATGAAGGAGGGGAAATCCTTGATCTTGATGAAAATGATGAGAAGAGACTACTTTCCAACCAGTCGACATTCTCAGATCTAGGCAAGTAATAAACTCAAATCCATAGAAGCTCATTGTGCAAATCAGGTTCCTTCTTACCAACTCAAATGACATTTAACCTTCACCACTACGTGTTTTTTCTAACTTGGTATGTGGTCAAATAGCCCCTTTTGAGTTTATATTAAAAGGTTCTTTTCATGTTGTCGCCTTATATTTATTCATGCTCCGTATATCTGAGAGAGAAGCAGGTAAGATAATTGATTTTTTTTTTTTTTAGGTCACCCAGTTTCACCGTTTGATTTTCTAAACTCTTGTACCATGACCTGCTTGTATTTTCTATGACTATTTATTTTCGTGCTCCGTAGATGCATGTTGTTCCACTATTAATAGAACTGTATGTATCGCCATGTAGCATGAATAAATGAAAGAAAGCAGTGTACTCCCTGGTTAAACTCTTTTCATTAATTTTGATATTTTTTTGCCCTTTTTTAATTTAATGATCATCTGTCTTTATTCTCTTTTTTTCAATTTTTGTCAAGGATAGGCCATCTTTCTTTTTTCACTATGGGCATAAAAAGCATGTCACAGTCCTCGGATGATTAATTAGGGTCATCCAACTAATTAAAGTTGTGAAAAAAAAAAAAAAAAAAAAAAAAACAAAACAAAAATGTTCTAACTCTTTCAGACAATAGATAACATTTAATGGTTACCCAAAGAGTGAGGAATATTTTTTTTTTTTACAAGTCCAAAGGGTGAGGAATATTGAAGGAGGAAGTCATCTTCCCCTATTTAATTTATTTATTTTTTCTTTTTTTGATTTTACATTGGATTATTAAAAAAGAGTATCTTTTATTTGCTAAATGGTATAATAGTCAAATCACAACTCTACAACCCAGGAAAAAAATAATATTAATAATCACAACTCTACAACCCAGAAAATAATAATAATTACAACTCTACAGCCTGTACTCCGTTCAGGCAATCGTGTTGTGAAACACTTTTATTATGTCAAGTTTGCTTCAAGCTTGCCTATGTCAGGGCCTCCAACTGGTATTAAAAACATAGGTGTTACTTTGGGTGGCAAAAATTGACACGATTCAAACACGACTCGAGTTAAACGGATTTTGGTTGACCCTAAATGAATTCCGGTCATAAACGCGTCAATATGATTACCTCGTTTAATTAATCGTGTCGTATTTGGGTTGAGGGTTTCAACCTGTATAACCTGTTTATACACGTTTAACTATATATGTCGTAAATAAATTTCTATTTAAGTTCTAAAATTACTATATAAACTTGTATCTTATAATTTAATCATTTGTAAATTAAAAATTATTTAGTAATTTGGTTGATTAAAATTTATATTTTTTTTTTAACATTTATTATTTTATTGAGTATTATTAATAATTTAAATTATATATATATATATATATATATATATATATTGTAAATAGGTCATTAAACGCATAACCCGTTTAATAAACAGGTTGGATTAGTATTGAGAGTTCCTAATATGATTATTAAACGAGTCGTGTTCGAGTTGAACTATCTAATATAATACCCTTAAATTGACACGACACGATTACAACCTGCAAACACGAATTGCCACCCTAGTGTTACTTATGAACTCCTCGATAAAAGCTCATTCACTTTAGACAAGGCTCTAAAGCTCATTAATCTTCTTAAACAACTACCAGTACTTGAAAAGTCTACATTAATCTATATATATATATATATATATATATATATATATTATCAAATTGACTCTTTGAATTTAGATTTAGTTATAATTTAAATTTTCTTCAATTTTAAACCTAATTCCTTCCAATTTCAAATTTAAGGTATCAATGTAGTTAAATTTCCAAAATCCTACTTAAAGTCATTTTTGCGGAATTGAAATTGAATCCCCACCCCCAAAAGTTTGCAAATCCAATGCATTAATATTGGTCAGATCTGATTTTATTAATTTATTTTAGGCAAAATTGTAAAAATATTCCCTTAAACCATCAAGAAAGTGAAAAATAAATCAAATCCTGAACCGACGCCATGTTCCGGCATTTAGAAGATCAAAATTACCTAAATACCCCTACTAATTAATTTATATAAAAACATATAAAACTTAAATGATAAATACCAGGACCATCTTGCAACTAAATAATGGTTCTCAGGTTTGTTTTTTTTTTTTTTGTTTTTTGCTCTTTTGCCTAATACCACTAACAATAAAAATGACAATGTTTGTAATTTATTTTTGTTATTATTTTAAATTATTATTATTATTATTATTATTGCTCACCTCACCGGCCAAATACACTATAAACCCAAGAGGGAATTTTGATCCCCACAAAGCAGCAGAGTTTGTATCATGTAACCATAACTAAAAATACATGAATATCTTCTATTTTAATACATATTGCATTTTTTTTTTTTTTTTGTGCTTCTTATTTTAATAAACTAAACAAATTTACAATTGAAGAAAAAAAAGGTAAGAATGAACACTTAGATAAGTTTCTTTCTCTATCTATAATTTGCATTTTTCTACTAATATTTTTTATTATATATATATATATCTATCTTTTGGGTATATCTTTAAAATTTTACTGTAATCAGAAAATACCAAATTAAAATATAATTATAAAATTTAATGTTTTTTTTTTTTTTTCCCCTAGTTGGTACTTATACACAGATGCCTCTACTGAGGTTATTTCTCTTTGAGAAATAGGGACTTAGTACCGCTAGGTCACTATTTACGAAAAAGAAATCACTCATTCATAGAAAAAATTTGTAACTTTTTATTTTAATTATTCTAAAATTTAATAGAAAGAGTCTCCCAAACCAAAATATATAAAATCAATTGAATTCAAATTATTGAATTATTTTAAGATTTGAATTCTATATTGATAAATTTGGTTATCTAATTTGTCTTTCTATACTAATATCTTTCTTATATTAAAAAAATTACTTTTTAAAAATATACAAGAAGCTAAATAAGCAGCCACCAAATTTGAATACAAATTCCTCAAGGTGCTTTTCTTCTCAAAAATGTTTGCAAGGACTGTGATTGGTCTAAAGGCTACATTCCTCTCTCTCTCTCTCTCTCTCCATTACTTACTTTAAAAGTAATCGAAATTTACGTTAGCCAACAATAGGATATACTTATTTAAGTGCTTTCCATGAAACACCCTCCATCTGTCCTCCATCAACCCACAACCTTACACGTGGCAATAATACCAAATCCCGCAAAACCTCAGACCCCACAGTTTAGTAGTGGGTCCATACACCATTTTCGACTCTCACCTCTTCAGACAGTAGGAAAAATTACAACAAAAAGATTTTTCCATCCTGGTCAACTGTCAATTTTCTCTCCCTAAACAGAGCAGAGAAAAATACAGAGGATATGTCAGGGATGAAAGTGAGGGTAACGGAGATGAGATCGGAGACGTTAACTCTGATATTGGTGAATCTGGCGGCAATTATGGAGCGGGCCGACGAGTCTCTGCTACCGGGAGTGTACAAGGAGATTGGAACGGCCCTTCACACCGACCCAACGGGCCTGGGCTCACTCACCCTTTTCAGATCCATAGTACAGTCCTCGTGTTACCCACTCGCCGCTTACTTGTCTGTGCGTCACAACCGTGCCCACGTCATCGCCCTCGGCGCTTTCCTCTGGGCCGCCGCCACGTTCCTCGTGGCCGTCTCCTCCACTTTTTTAGAGGTTCACCCCCTCTCTCCCTCATTCTCTCTCTCTCTATATAGCTATATGTGCATATATATATATGTTGGAAATAAATTTGATTTGAGTGAAATTGGAGAGGAATGGCTTTTATTGTACTAAAAAGTATTATATCTATGCTTGTCGTAGATTTAGTATGATAGAATGTCAGAATGTGGATCACAAAATGTGGCCATTGCTGAAATTCTAACCGGGTGGGAAAATTTGATATGAGATGATATTTCTTTTACTCCTATTTTATTTTATTTTTTGGGGAGGAATTTATGTCAAGAGAACAGGTGAAAACTAAACACCCATTTTAAATGATTTAATTGAGTTGAGTTTGGAGTAAGTGTCTTGTATGAAAATTTATTTAGAAAAATGAACGGGATTAATATCCATTTTAGAATTTGTTTAGTTACACCCTATTAATGATTTACACATTTCAAACTTAAGAATATGTAAAGTGGGATTTGTAGTTTCTTCAAAAGGGGGAAAAAATCTCTGTAATTATCATCTCTTCCATTCACAATGAGCAAGTGCTAAGATATTTGGACGGGATAAAATTAGTTAAGTGGGTGCTTCAATTTGTCTACGTACAATCATGCCATTGATAATTCAAACATAGCAAACTATGGCTAAAACTATAAATTTCATAATTTAGATTCATCATTCCTAATTGAAAAATGGATTTGGGGAAAGTGAGATATTTCTTTTTGTTATTCGATTGTTTGGCCCCTCTGAAAAGTACTGTTTTCCTGCAACCAAACAACTGCATCATATAATAATTAGTTTTGTCAACCGGTTATTCAGGTTGCAGTTTCAAGAGGTCTGAATGGAATAGGACTTGCCATTGTCACACCAGCTATTCTGTCCCTTGTTGCTGACTCAACTGATGATAGCAACCGCGGTATGGCTTTCGGATGGCTACAATTGACGGGGAACCTGGGCTCAATTATAGGTGGGCTATGTTCAGTTCTAATAGCTTCAACATCATTCATGGGTATCCCTGGTTGGAGAATTGCCTTCCATCTCGTTGGACTTATTAGTGTTATAGTTGGCATTTTGGTCTATCTCTTTGCCAATGATCCTCGCTTTTCTGATAGCAATGGTACAGCTATAGCTGAAAATCCACAGAAACCCTTTTGGTCAGAAATGAAGGACCTGATTAAAGAAGCAAAATCAGTTATTAAAATTCTATCTTTTCAAATAATTGTGGCTCAAGGTGTCTCTGGATCATTCCCCTGGTCATCTTTGTCATTTGCCCCCATGTGGTTGGAGCTTATTGGCTTCTCCCACAAAACAACAGCATTCCTCTGGACCCTCTTTGTTATTGCTGCTTCACTTGGGGGTCTGTTTGGAGGAAAGATGGGGGATATTCTTTCCAAGCGCTTACCAAACTCTGGGCGAATAATGCTCTCACAAATAAGCTCTGGTTCAGCCATCCCTTTAGCAGCAATATTGTTGCTCGTGTTACCTGATGATCCGTCCACAGCATTCATGCATGGTTTGGTCCTGTTCGTCATGGGATTAATCATATCTTGGAATGGTCCAGCCACAAACAAGTAAGTCACCAAATTAATGTAATATTTTTGCCTCTTTTTTGTGAATCAACAGTATCTTTAATTTTGGGGTTGGGTGGAGGGGAAACATAAAGAAGCAGAAGCATGAGCTGCTTCAAATCTCTCTCATATTGCACCACACTTTCGTGGCTGAAGCAACTAAAGGAATCATGAACAAAGAGTGAAACTTATGAATATAGACATTTGTTGAGGAGGATGATGATCAAGCAGAATTAAACTTTGGTTTAGAATAGTGGGTCACTCTCTTCAACATGTTTTGTTCCTAACTCCCTTCCACAGATTTACTGAGGACTAGGTCTCCTAAATGCCACTGAAACAAATTATAGTATCCTATTTGTTTGCATAATAATGACCTGAAATGTTCAACATCACTCACTCCTGCTTGTAGATATATACGTAAGCACTAATCACAGAGAGAATCTTCATTAAATTTGTATAAACACTAATCGCAGAGAGAATCTTTATAGAAACCCTTAAATTCATGACGGCAGGCAATTAACTGCTTGAACCATGCCTGAAATCTAGAGTGCCTCCTGTGGAGAGACCTCTTTTAATCTATGAGGAGGCCCCGGACGACATGGGCCGGATCCGACTCGCAAACACTACATTCAGTTCGTACAGCTGGGTCGGCCCATATAAAGACACTGCCATATGGGCCGAACGCGAGTAAGCCCATCAAAGGTGACCAGGACTTATGGAGGAATAGGCCCAGATCCAGCAATCAGTAAATATCTTGTAAATATCTTGTAAATATCTATAAATAGGATAAGGAATGGAAAGGAAGGGGATCTTTTTGGGTTGAGGTGTAAGAATTCTAGAGAGAGAAAGAGGGGAACGAATTTCTTGCATCTTCAATTGGCGCCGTCTGTGGGAAACGCATGGAAGTTTGGTTGATCAATGAGGAATATCGAATGGATTCAAACCAATTCGGTTGATCGAGACTCGATCTTTGGGATTTGGATCCAGATCTGAGCGATTGTGACCTACTCTGGAGGAATTACAATTCTTGAAGCTTTGGCAGGAGTGACTTCAGATCTACGCAACAACGAGTTGTTCGATTGTGGCAGGATCTGACGGATTTAGGGTTCAGACAATTCAGATCTCGTAAACAGTGAGCATAATTCGGAGAATTAGAAGCCAGATCTAAAAATTCCTACTCACGAAGCTCGGATCTACTCGCGAACTTGAGATTAATGCCTTTACTCCGTTCGGGAATAATGATAGGTGAAAGCTCCAATCCGATGGAGGCTGTCCAGCAAACAAAGCTTGAGGAGTTGATGAACTTGATTGAAGCTCTCAAAAAAGAGAATGCAGAATTGAAAGCTGGAATGCAACATCGGCAAATACCTGCGGTTTCGCATCCACTTCCGGTCGGAGAAGGAGGTGTTCAATCTAATATCGCGCATCAAGGCGAACAGGACGAGAACAATCAGTCAGCTCACCACCGTGATGAAAGGATGATGGACAATTTGCCGCCAAATGTTCGTCGAGTTGAAGATCACGAAGGATCGACTCACGTTGATCCGCAGCGGGAAAGGTTCGACCGAGAGGAAGTGATGGAGGTTGATCGCCGTCGAGTAGCGTCGCCTTGGCAAAGAGAGTTCATAGAGGAACGGTCGTTCGATCCGTCTTACCGGCCCTCCATGGTTACTATCACTCATCACGGTTCGGAGGGCAGAACCGTAACTCACAGAGCTACCGCTGGACTCCAGAGAGAGAATGAAGCTCTCCGATCCGCAGCTCGGACGGTGGATTCACCATTCACCGACGAGATCTTGAATGCCCCGCATCCAAGGAAGTTTGCTATGCCAGTCTTTATTCTGTTCGACGGAACGACCGATCCGATCGATCATGTGTATCATATCCAGTTGAAAATGGCCCTGAATACGGAAAACGACTCTTTAATGTGCAAATGTTTCCCTACAAGCCTAGCCGGACCGGCGCTCAGCTGGTTCAAAAACTTGCCTAGGAGCTCCATTGGTAGTTTCAGAAACCTGTGCGATCGGTTCATAAGCCAGTACTATGGGAACAAACGCCCGCCGAAGGACATCTCGAGCCTATTCACGATGAGGCAGCACAAGGATGAACGTCTCCAGGCCTTTCTTACCAGGTTTAATCTCACTAAGAGTATGGTGATCGAATGCCACCCTTCTACGGCAGTTCAAGCCTTCAAGTTAGCCATGACACGCGGAACTCCGTTTCACACCAGTCTGGTAGTGAACACGCCGACTACTATGGATGAACTCAATGAAAGAGCCGATGGCTTTGTGCGCCTAGAAGAAGAGGAGGCAGCTAATGCTCGGACAACGTCGCTTGTGTCGACCGAGGAAAAGTCCAAGGCAAAGATCAGGCAGAAGCAGGCTCAGCCGCAACGTCAGACCTCTTGGAAGGCAGAAAAAAGGTCCAGGGAGGAAGAGCTGATTACTCCGCTGAAGGTCACTCTGGCGAGGCTGTATCAGGAGAACAAAGATAAGTTTCATCCACCACTGCCAATTAGGCAACCCCTCGAACAGAGGGATCAAACTAAACATTGTGCTTTTCATTCTGATTTCGGTCATCAGACTAACGAATGCAGGAACCTGAGGAGGCAAGTGGAGATGTTGATAGCTAGAGGGGAGTTCGCGAGTTATGTTCAAGGTTCGGCGATGGAGCAGAATCGACCGGTGGAACAAATAAAAAGGAGTCATAAACAAAGCTCCCACAATTCACAACCAGTTCGTATAATCAATGCTATCCATGGTCGACCCGAGCCTAGTGAAGAGTCAGAGGAGCTGCTCCGGGTGCGCCTGCGGCAGGCGCAGATGAAGAAAAGGGTCGGCAGTGTGAATACTCTACACCAGCAGAGCCCGTCGATGCAGATAAAGTTCGACTGGACAGACCTGCAGCGTGTTCAACTGCCTCATGACGACCCGTTGGTAGTCAGTTTGACAGTGGCAGATTGCTTGGTGCGCAGAGTTCTGATCGATCCTGGGAGCAGTGCGAATGTCATGCCGAGGGACACATTTGACAGGCTCGAGATTAAACCAGAGAGGCTCAAGCCCACTGGAAATCCCTTGTTGGGGTTCGATGGGAAGAGGGTGGAGCCCGTCGGGATGGTGGAAGTGGAAGTTCAAGCTGCAGAACGAGCTCTTATGGAAACTTTTGTGGTTGTGGAAATTCACCCCTCGTATAATCTCCTGATGGGAAGAGGATGGATTCACAGAGTCCGAGGTGTACCCTCAACTCTGCATCAGGTCATGAGGTGCCTCGGACCCGATGGAGATAAAGTGATAGACATTCGGGGGGATCAGGTCGCAGCCAAAGAGTGTTATTCCGTCACACTAAAGCATGCTGGGAAAGGAAAGGCACCCGTCCGTTCGGCAAGCCCCGGATAGCAATTACAGGAACCTCCGCTCGAGCAGAATAGGGTGGAGGAGTCAGTCGACTTGACCGAGGAGCCCCTTCTGGATGTGCAGATCGATCAGTCCAGGCCAGAACGAACTACCAGAGTAGGTATAAGACTGACCAGAGAAGAGCAGCAAGAGCTAGTGGATTTCTTGTCCCACAATGCCGACGTATTTGCATGGAGTCACCTAGACATGCCTGGAATTAGTCCCTCCGTATCCTGTCATTCCCTGAATGTCAATCCCAATTTCAAACCAGTGAAACAGAAGCAGCGAAGATTTGCTCCAGAACGTAATCAGATCATAGCGGAAGAAGTCGATAGGCTGCTTGATGCGGGATTTATCAGAGAGGTGCACTACCCTGAGTGGTTGTCCAACGTCGTCGTTGTGTAGAAGAAGAATGGGAAATGGCGAGTATGTATTGATTTCACCAATTTGAACAAAGCCTGTCCGAAGGACAGCTTCCCGTTGCCTAAGATTGATCAAATGGTGGATGCCACCACTGGGTATGAGCGTTTAACCTTTCTGGACGCTTATTTAGGTTATAATCAGATTCCTATGGACCCCGCAGATGAAGAAAAAACTTCTTTTGTCACCGAGCGAGGAACATACTGCTACAAAGTTATGCCTTTCGGACTAAAGAATGCGGGAGCAACTTATCAAAGACTTGTTAGCAAAGTTTTTAAGAATCAAATGGGTAAGATTGTGGAAGCCTATATTGATGATATGGTGGTAAAGAGTAGGAAGAAGGATGATCATCTGAAGCATCTGCAAGATGTATTTGATGTACTAAAGCGATATGGGATGAGGCTCAATCCAACCAAGTGCTCGTTCGGTGTGAGTTCCGGACAGTTTCTGGGACACGTGGTCAACCGCAGAGGCATCGAAGTTAGCCCCGCTCAAGCAAAGGCTTTGATTAAGAATGCCGAGCCAAAGACGATCAGAGAGATGCAAGCCCTCACAGGACGAATAGCTGCATTAAGTCGATTTATTTCAAAATTGTCAGATCACTGCAAACCATTCTTTGACACGATTCGGAGCCATGGAAGGCAGGTCTGGGGGGATGAGCAACGACAAGCATTGACTCATTTGAAGGAATATATGCAGAATCCACCAGTCCTGTCAGCCCCAGATCCGGAAGAAAAGTTATTTCTATATCTTGGAGTATCTGGTGTCGCGACGAGTGCCGTTCTGATTCGTTGCAAGGAAGGGGTGCAATACCCGGTATTTTATGTAAGCAAAACACTGACGGAGGCAGAAAAAAGATACTCAAAGGCCGAACGGGTGGTACTTGCACTTGTAAATGCAAAAAGAAAGTTGAGGCATTATTTCGAATCCCACCCCATAGCTGTTCTAACAACTTTCCCAATCAGAACGCTTATGCACAAGCCAGAGCTCTCGGGCAGAATGACAAAGTGGGCCATAGAGTTAAGTTCATTTGATATAACGTATGAGCCGAGAACAGCTGTTAAGGGGCAAGCGGTAGCCGATTTCCTACTAGAATGTGACGCCGAAGATACGGAAGAAGACCTTAGATGCGGTTCTTGGAAACTTTTTGTGGATGGCTCCTCTAACCAGATGGGGGCTGGGATTGGGATC